GGAGCCCGATGTGGGGCTCGATCCCAGGACCCTGGGATCATGCCCTGAGCTGAAGGCAGACGCTTAACGACTGAGCCACCCAGGCGCCCCTCAAATAAATAAATCTTTAAAAAAAAGAAAAAAAGATTGTGAGTATGTGAGTACTTGGGCAGGTTGGGGGAAGGGCAGTTATCGGTAGGACCCAGCATGGGGGTTACCAAGAACAAGTCACATCAACTAAACTAACTTCCTTCCAGGACAAGGTTACTAGATAAACAAGTCAGAGAAATGCAATAGATAAAGTGTATCTATGCAAGGTTTTTGACAAGATCTCTCATTATGTCCTTGGGGATAAGACCGAGAAAAATGTACAGAATGCTACTCTGATTTGGGGGACTAAAACATACAAAAATCAGTGGTATTCGTGAGTGGATCATGATAGCCTGGAATCTATTTTCTAGTGATGTACCAGAGAGCTTTATCTTTGGCCTTACCCTATTCAATGTTCGTAACATTAATTTTATTCAAAACTATAGGACACATGGCCATCAGTTATGTGGATGACACAAAGCAGGGATGGATTGCAAATACAAGGTCTGGGCAGAATTAGGATCCAAAAGGAGTCAGAGGGGTGAGCCAATTCTAACAAAAAAGATAGTTATTGTGTATCTGTGTATGTATTGGGGTCCAAATATTACCTGAGCAATTCTGGATCAGAAAGGTGTGATGCATTTTGGTTGCCAAAAAAGCAATGCTATTTTAAGCTACTTTAGGCAAATTAAAGTATGTAGAATAAGGAGGTTGTTGATTCTGCTCTGATCTGCTTATCCTGTACCTGCAGTTTTGAGTCTCAAAGGACAATCAGGATATGAGAGGATTCAGAACCAGATCATGTAAGAAACGGCTAAAGGAAATGGGGAAGTTAGTTGGGAGAAGAGACGCTCTGAGGGATATGAGTGGCTGCATGCAAATATTTGGTTTGAAGGGCTGTCATGTGAACAAGGGTTTGGACTTGTTCTTTGAGATCTAAGAGGAACCACCAGGACCAATGAGCTCACACCACAGGAAGAAAGATTCCATATTGATATGACAAAGAACAATGTAACAATCGGGACATCCAAATGTGGAAAGAGCTTCTCCAAAGGTAGAGTGTGCTCTGTCCCTGGAGGGGTTCACGGGCAGGATGGACAAGCACTTTGCCAAGATTCTGTAGAGGGAACTAAAGCTTGGGACGGAGGTTAAGGACTGTCTGTAAGCTTTCACCCGCACTCATGGAGGATCAGGATGCCTGCCCCCTCCGCGCCATCTCCACTCCACACTTCCTGCGGTGACATTCGGGGATCCGTCATCAAAGTCCCAGCTTTGTTCGTGCAGAGGAAAGATTCCACATATCTTGAGGAATGGAAGCTCTTGGGGCCCAAGGGAAGGCCTGCTTATCATTCCCAAAACGATAGTCTATGATTATATATCACATGGCAGTTCTTAAAATATGTAATTTGACCCTCACACCATGAACTAAGTACGAAAGTCATCATTAGAATCAGGTTCGGAGATTTGCCCCAAGCGGATTAGTGGTAGAGTTGGACCAGAACCTGGTCTTCCAGCTCCTGGTCCAGAACCTTTTCTTTTCTTTTCTTTTCTTTTTAAGTAGGCTCCACACCCAGCGTGGGGCCCGAATTCACAACCCTGAGATCAAAGATCGCACGCGCCACTGACTGAGCCAGCCAGGCGCCCCCAGAACTTTTGAATTACAGCAACTGCTTCTGGGTCCCCCAGGTTCCTCCCCATGGGTCTCATGGTCTCAGGAAGTGCCTTGCGGTGCCCTGTAGGGAGGATCACAGCCGAGCCGCCGAAGACAGAGCCTGGAGCCTCCAGAGCCCCGCATCGGGGCTGCAGATCCGTGGCCCTGGAGATTTGGGCTCCCGGCTGGAACTCTCTGCTGTGATTGCCACCTCCAGCTGTGCACCTGCTGGTGTGCCACCTCCCAGAGCCAGGCAGCTTTGTTCTCCGCGGTGGCCGAGTCGGAGCCAGCCACCACCCGCTGCGCCCCGCCCCCAAGCTGGCCGGGCTCCGGGAAGGGAGCGGCCCCAGCCCCGGACACCGGCCGCGCTGCCCCACCTGGAGCACACACACGCCTCCCTCTGGAGGGTGCTGTTTCCCCCGAAACCGCCCCAGCCCCACACCAGGGACAGTGGCTGAAGACACAACCAGCCCCCGCGCGGCGAAAAGACAGAAACAGAGACCATCCGCTTCATGCTCTACGAACTGTACGAATGACTATTTCTCGGAAACAAAGGCCGGTCATGCCCACAGGGGCGCCCGGCCTGCGTCCTCTACAAACAGCACTCTCACCTCCTGCTTCGTGGCTGTAGATGGGCCTAGCTTCCCCCGAGGGCCCACGAGTCATTTATTCTCCGGGTCCAACGGGTCTTCAGAGCCCTTCTGGCGTACAGCTCTGCGCTGGAGCAAGGACACGCTGCTCTTGGGACTCTCGTGACTAAATTGATCCATGGCTCCCCACTGCTTTTAGGAGAAGCTGCAAGCCTCTGAGCACAGCCTTCAAGGCCCTTCATGGTTTGGTCTCTGCCTACTCATTGGCTTTGTTCCTGCCGCTTTTCTACACGCCCCCTGGACCCCAGCTCTGCAGAGCCTGGTGTTTCATCCTCCCTGCCTTTGGACCTGCTCTCACACTGCTCCGTGCCTACCCGCCGACCTCCTGCTCAGCTTTCAGAACGCAACTCAAGTGTTAGTTGCCCCCTTTGAAGCCTTCCCGGACCATCCAAGAAATAGCAGGTGTCCTGTGTCTCCCTGGCCTCACCCCAGCGTGGCTTTATGAAGCCCGGTCTTGTACACATTCCTATTTTAGAACATCAGAGTGCTTTGCAATGGCGTGTTCACCATTGTGTGGGACTTCCACTGTTTCCCCAGTATCGGGGACAGTTAGTTACTAAAGCCTGAGTGTGCAGGAATGACGCCCGCAGGCCCATCTGGACCGAGGCTCGGGAGACGGCGATGCCGCGCTTCTGGAGACCTCCAGGGGGAGCCACGGCGCCGTGGGAGGGAGCCAGGCTCCAGGCGGCCGCCGGTTACAAACACTTCCTTCGAAGGCGGGAGAAAGCAAGTCCCTGGGGCCTCAGCCCGGCTCTCTTCTGGGTCAGCGGCAGGATGGAGAGAGAGAAAATGGGCTCGTAAATGGTTGTGGGCATTGGGGTGGACCGTGACAGGTAAGGGGCTGGAAAGGATGCTTCGACCCCCCCCCCAGGAGCCGTGCGGAGGCATCTTCTCCTCCAACCTGTCAGGCTGGAGGGGCAGGGAAGACACCCTGAGCAAAGAGCAGCTTGCCTGAAAGGAGCTCTGGGTCCTGATTCTCACCGCCTTCATTCTCGAACGTGAACGAATCCTCCCTCCTCCCCGCTGCCCCTCTGGTTTCCTAAATAGTTAACGGCGCGACCAGCCTCTGGGTTACCACACTCACACTCCCGGGGCCACCAGACTCTCCTTCCTCGTGTCAACATCCATCTGATGCCGGGAGCTGTGCCTCTTCCCTTAGTCTCCTGGCCTGACGTCGGGTCCTTTCCTCCTTTTGGCTGAATCACCGCACCAGCCTCCATGCAGCTGCTGCCCGATCTTTCCCGCCTCAAATCCTTGCGACACTGCGACCGCCACTCTTCTCATGTCACGACCCCACGAGGCTTTATCCAGTTTCAACGCCTACGAGGTATTCAGAGGAGAATCCTTATTTCCTGACTGAGGAAGCCGAGGCTGGGGGGAGGTGATGGGACTCCGTGAAGTGTCCCTCTCAGGTCCTCCATCTGCCAACCCTCCACTTTTCATTACACTATCACCATCTTGGCACCTTCCCCAGCTCAAAACATGCTAACGTCGCTGCACCATCGATCAAGGATCGGGCATAAATGGCCTTCCCTGATCTGCTTCCAAAACCTCTTCCAGCCTTATTTTCCACCTCTTCTCTCCTATGGTGAGCTTCTGGCAAACCAACTGCTCCCTGCTCCCTGCTCCCTGCGGAACGCACCCATGCGTTCGTGCTCCTCTCCCTCCCTGGGCTCCCCTCTCTCCTTGTCCCTACATACCCAAGATATCCTCCAGAGCCCGCGGTTCAAATGACCCCTCTTCCGTGAAGCCTCTGATCCCCACAGCCTTAAGTAGCACCTCCCTCTTCTGAGTCTACACACACACACACACACACACACACACACATCACCATCTGTATGTTTAATGGGACATTGATCTGGCACGTGACCTCTCTTCTACTACAAATACGCTTACTGAACTAAGGATTCAGGCATAATACATTTTCATGGCCCTGACGTGTGATTAGCACAATGTATGACACATAGTAGGTGCTCCAGAAGTATTTCAGGAGTGAATGAATGAGCAGAAGGGAGAGAACTGGGAACAGACTGCACCTCCCGCAGGGTGGGGGCTCTCCTCCTGCGCGGACAGAACTTCGCTCTGGTACAGAGCCTCTCCTCTGAGGCCTTCACATCCATCCTTCTTGTCTGTGTCTTCTCTCGATTTTTTACATGTTTTCTCTTTTTCCTGAACACATGGAAACCCCCCAAACTAGTTATCAACACTAACAGACGTGCAAACCAGCAGAGATGTCCTGGTCTGTGGTGATGTTGCCACCGTAGGAAGATCTGTGCAGTTTCAGCTGTGGGATCACGCATTTACATGACACTTTCTTTAGCATCTCCTGGGTGCCAGATTCTAAATAAGACCCTAGAGTTGGGGCGCTGAGTTAGATGTAGATTCTGGCCTGGAGGACCTTCCAAGCCAGTAAGGGAGGCAACCATAACAGAGGCAGGAAGTGGCAAGTACCCTAGACGAGGTATCCTGGAGGTCCTAGGGGAATCTGCAAAGGGAAAGGTGACGTTTAGCTCCAGGGAGCAACCCCATAAGAATGGTATTATCCCCATTTAGAGCAGGAAACAAGTTAAGTAACGAACAACCAGGGGTTGCCGCATACCTGGCTGTCTGACTCAAGAGAAAGACTTTACAGAGAAAGGGGGCATTGCGACTGGGCCTGAAGGTTAGGCAAGATTGAGACACATGGAGACGGGGACCTGGGGGGTCAGAGAGAAGGCGCTTCCAGGGAAGGGAAGGGAGCAGTATGAGCAGAAGCTATAAGTCTGAAGAAAATCCAGAGCCAGCCAGGGAGCAGGAACCGTTCATTTTGGCTGAAGTGTCGGGAGCATAGGACAAATTGGGACAACAGTGACGTGCTCCCATCCCCCAACACCTCTGCTTTGTGGCCAGCCTCCTGTGTTTAAAGGTTGGGTCCCCAGATGAGGGGGACTGGGCAACAGTCACGGTGTAGGGTGTGGGCGGGGCATCCTAGGCTCCTGCAGGGATGCAGGGCGGGGCCTTGCCTCCCCCCATGGGGCCCTAGCTGGTGATTTTCCTTTTTTGGCTGTAGACTGTTTCCTCTTCCTAACCTTCGGTTCAGGGAAAGGGGAGGAGACAGAGGGGGCGGGCCTCTCCCCCCCCCCACCCCAGCACTTCACATTTCATCGTCGGGATGAGTCTGTAGAAGAGTTTCTGCCTTCACAATTCCCGATGAACCCGGGGTTCGGGGAGCCTGGGCCACACAACTGACCAGCAGCAGAGCCCAGATCAGTACCCTTTGGCTGGATTCCGAAGTCCTTTCTCCTCGAGCTTCAGGCTAATACTACAGTGAATTTGCCTTCACTGAGCAAATTCCACACTCAGCCACCAGAGAAGGTGACACCTCGACCTGCTGGGAGGTTAGCTGGGGCCGGCCGGGCTGGACATGTCACCAGCACTGATGCCCAGAGAGCATCTCATGACTGGCAGTGATGCTCTTGTTGTGTGTTTGCTTTATCCCCTTGTCCCCTCTCCTAGGTTTGCGTGGCATGTCCCTCCTGTCCCCATTTCCTTCTCGGACTCTGTCCCCAGCTGTCTTCCCACCTCTTCCTCCGTCTGCGCTGCCTGCTCGCCCCCCTCGTACTTGGTGCTGGCCGACACTAACGCACGTTACCCCCTCCGTCCTTGTCCCCTTCCTCCTGGCCTGCTCACTCCCCCACGTCTGAATGGATTGTCCTTCAGCCTCCCGGATCCCGCTTTGTGAAGACGGTGATACGCAGGCAGAGCGTGCTGTCCCGCTAATCACAGCGCTGACCTTTGAACTCCCTCTCACACTCTGCCCTCCTGTCCTCCGTCTACACCCCCAGGCCCAGGGGTCTGCATCGGTGGAGGCATCCTAAGCCCCCCAGCCTCCTGTTCGCCCCCTTCTTCCCTCCGGAAAAGAGCCTTTTGATTTAGGGGTTTGGAAATGGGATCAGTTTCCTCCCGGACTGGAGGGGCTCCCACTCTCCCTGTGAACCAGTCCACTCGGGTGAGGCTTGGAGGTGGTCCTCAACCAACCACTGCGGCGTGTGCGTAAATGACTAGATGGACAGAAACAGGCAGTCGTGGGGTCAGCTGGCTCTGTGCCAGTGACTGCCCACCGCACCCCGGTGCTATGTGTCGGGGAAGCCCTGTACACAAAAGGAGGGCTTTTGAGCACTATCAGCCCCGGAACCCAAGGCCAGGCCCATCAGAGAGCAGCATTCTGGAGACGGCGTGTTGGAGACAGCGTGCGCGAATCGGCCACCGGGACCTTTTAAGACCCTGCCAGGAACTAAGAGGCAGTGTTACCTGCTGGGAAGGGGACCGGACGGGAAGCAGGAGACTTAGGTGCGAGACTCAGCTGGGCCACTGACCAGCAGTGATCTCGAGCAACGTCTCAGCCCGTCAGGCCGCTATTTCCTTAATTGTGGCATAAGGGCGTTGTATTCGGTCCACTTCTCAAACGAGTGTGCCAGGAGGGACTCCAAGCCACAGGATTCATGGTAATGTATTTTTCCTGCGATATCAATTTTCCTCAAAGACTTTGAGGGAAGATCTTATTTTCATGTGAAAAAGCGACATGTGATAGAGTAGAATGAAAACAAAACAGATTTCAAGGATGTCTGCTGTGTGACCCATTACGGCTCATCGCTGTATCTTCTTGGGTAGCTCTCCCTCCCCTCTGCCTTTCAGGACCAGTTGTGGGGTGGGTTTAGGGGGCCCTGTGTTGGAGGATTATCAAGGTCCCTTCCCACTTTAAGACCCCATGTGCAGCCTGAGCCCTCCCCCTCCCTTGGGGGAGAGAGGAAATGGCCACTCAGCCTCCTGTCCCCAAACATATCATCTCTTCTTTGGACACTAACTCCAACTTGAACAGTGACCCTGGAGGCTTCCAAGGAGATCTGCTGCTTTGGGGCCTGAAAAGAAACTTTTCTGGGCTTCTGGGTGTTCTTAAGGAGACAGGGGGAGAGGACAAGGGGGCCGGGTAGGAGAGGGAGGCCAGTAAGAAAAGTGTCCTGGGTTATGTAAGCCCTCCGAGGCTGGAAGAAGAATGGAGTTGGGTTTGGGGTTCTTTCAGACAGGATGCCTTTATTCATTAATCTCCCTCCCGTCCTGCCCCAGAGAAAATAAACAAATAGAAAGAGAGCCAGATGCACACAAATCTTGAGGTGGGGAAAGGAGGGCAGTGTGTGTGTGTCCGGGGGCCTGCTTTTCCAGCTGAGTCACTGTTGCCTCTGTCTGCCACCCCTCGGGCTCCTTCCCCATCCCTCCCATCCTCTGGCCTCGGCCTGACACCAAGGCCCTGGCCCAGGGAAGAATAGGCTTTTCTTCCCTTGTGTCAACGTTTGGAAAGTTCTCATAGTCTGATCAAAAGAAAGGATAAAAGCCTTCAAAGCATTTCCTGGGAGCCTGTGACCCCTGTCTGGCCCTTCTGACCCCTCTGTGTGTTTTCCGGTCAAGAGAGGGAGGGACACAGAGATGGGGCCATGTCAGCTGCTCTCCTCGGTCCAGGCAGCACCCCTGTGTGTCAGAGTGGGCTGATCAGGAGCACTGCCCCTTCCTCTGCCCCGACCCCCAGGCAGCGTCTCCTGTTCCCCTACAAGAAGGAAACCATATTCCTGCAGAGAACTGCCCAGGGGGTGGGATCTCGGGGGTCCCCTCTCTCCCCAGCTAGAGCGAGGATGACTTCCCGATGCGTGCCACAGATGGGCACCGACTCTTTGATGCACCTGCCTCCCCACCCTTCGCCCTACTCGGAGCACACTCCCTCCCCCCGTCACCCCCCCGCCAGGGTCTGCTCCTACCCAGCGTCTGGGGCAGCAAGGCTGCGCATCCTGATTCTGGCTGAGGAACCCGGCTCTGTGCAGAGTTCAGCTGAGGACAAAGGATGCACCGCTGCCCCCTCAGCCCCAGCTCCGGCCATCCCCAGAGCCTCCTGGCCTGGCCCCATCCGGGTCCTCACCTCCGAAGAACAACTGCCCCCAGATGTCAACCCACCCCTCCTCGCCTCAACTGATGTGCCAAAAAAAGTCAGAAGCAATGGCATTAATATGAATAATGTATTCTGTTTGTTATCTGTTGTTATCAGTAAGACATGAGATACTGAAGAGGCTCCCAAGGATACTGGGGGACATCTCTGAGGGTCTGGGCGGGTGGTGTAGAAACAGGGCGAGGACCAAGATGTCCACTCGAGATGTCTGCTTCATGTGGCAGCCGGCCCTGAGTCCCCAGCCAGCCCTCACCTGGCCGGGGCTCCTGAGCGTCTCCTCACGGGAATCTACACCCAGCTGATCCCCAAGATACTGGTTGAGGGCATCATCCTAGTTGAGAGATTGTGT